AGCCTGGCCTCAAGCGAACCACCGGCCTTAGCCTCCCAAAGTGCTGGAATTACAGGCACAAACCACCATGCCTGGCCTGAAGGGTTTTAAGTTGGAGAGTGATAAATGATCGTGATCAGATAATGATGGTTTAGACAAGGGTAAGAAAGAAGCCAAAACCCTGAAATATTTAAGGGGTATATGTACAGGAGCTGGTAATTGACCAAATGAGCTGAGGGGAATGAGCTAACTGGGAGGAGTTACCAGAGAGGTGTGCAGCTGGGGCTGACATGGGATTCATGGTCAGTTTCCATCAAGGAGGGCTGGGTGGTCCCCACTGCTCTTAACTCTTGGCATGACTCTAGAGCAGGTAGCCACCATGGGTCCCTTCCCTCCAGGGGATGTCCAGTCTCCTTTCCTTAGACTCACATTTCTCCAGGTGAGATCTGTGGATGTGTCACCTTGAGGGGTTCGCTAGTTCTCTAGAAGGATGCTTGGCTTTGGGTTTCCATTTTCATCACCAATAAGAGCATCGGGGCCTAAGGCCATCCAGACCTACTCTACTGAGTCTGTGCCTTTGTCACACCATATCCCACAGTGCAGTCAGCAAAGCACCACCCGCCATCTTCAGTTAACAGTCAGGTGGAATGTCACGGGTTTTACACTTACCTACTTTGGAAACAGTTTGATTTTAAGGTTAGGTATAAGAACAAAAGCAAAAAGAAGTGGTTTTTTTTTTTTTTTGAGATGGAGTCTTGCTCTGTTGCCCAGGTTGGAGTGCAGTGACCGGATCTCAGCTCACTGCAAGCTCCGCCTCCCAGGTTTACGCTATTCTCCTGCCTCAGCCTCCCGAGTAGCTGGGACTACAGGCGCCTGCTACCTCGCCCAGCTAGTTTTTTGTATATTTTAGTAGAGACGGGGTTTCACCGTGTAGGCCAGGATGGTCTCGATCTCCTGACCTCGTGATCCGCCTGTCTCGGCCTCCCAAAGTGCTGGAATTACAGGCGGTTTTTGTTTTTTAATATACCCAGTTTTGTTTCACCTAAGTGATGTGATAAAAATGATTCAAGTTAACATCTTGAGGGGAGATGGGCCCATGAAGAATATTTTATTTTTTTATTTTTTGAGACAGTTTTGCTCTTGTTGCCTAGGCTAGAGTGCAATGGTGCGATCTTGGCTCACTGCAACCTCCACCTCCCGGGTTCAAGTGGTTCTCCTGCCCCAGCCTCCTGAGTAGCTGGGAGTACAGGCATGCGGCACCACGCCCAGCTAATTTTGTATTTTTAGTAGAGACAGGGTTTCACCATATTGGTCAGGCCAGTCTTGAACTCCTGACCTCAGGTGATTTGCCCGCCTCGGCCTCCCAAAGTATTGGGATTACAGGCATGAGCCACCATTCCTGGCTGAAAAATGTTTTCTTTAAAAGGATGGGCCAGGCATGGTGGCTCACGCCTGTAATCCCAGCACTTTGGGAGGTTGAGGTGGATGGATTACTTGAGGCCAGGAGTACAAGACCAGCCTGGCCAGCACAGTGAAACCCCGTCCCTACTTAAAATACAAAAATTAGCTGGGTGCAGTGGCATGCGCCTGCAATCCCAGCTACTCAGGAGGCTGAGGCAGGAGAACCACTTGAACCCAGGAGGCAGAGGTTGCAGTGAGCTGACATTGCACCACTGCACTCCAGCCTGGGTGACAGAGCAAGACTCCATCACACATACACACAAATAAATAAATAAAAGGAGTTAGTAGGTCGGGCGTGGTGGCTCACGCCTGTAATCCCAGCACTTTGGGAGGCCGAGGCAGGCAGACCATGAGGTCAGGAGATCGAGACCATCCTGGCTAACACGGTGAAACCCCATCTCTACCAAAAATATAAAAAATTAGCCGGGCGTGGTGGCGGGCGCCTGTAGTCCCAGCTACTTGGGAGGCTGAGGCAGGAGAATGGCGTGAACCTGGGAGGTGGAGCTTGCAGTGAGCTGAGATCCGGGCACTGCACTCCAGCCTGGGCGACAGAGCAAGACTCCGTCTCAAAAAAAAAAAAAAAAGAGTATATTTCTCAGGTTTGAGAATGTGTCCCTGACAAAAAGTAATTCCAATAGAATGTGACAAGTGGTTTGACAGGACAGGATGAGGTGCACTGGGAATATAAGCAGCAGCCCCAAACCTAGGCTGTGGATCAGTCTGGACTCTATCCTGAGGGCAGTAGAGTCTAGGAATGCCTGGCCCTATCAGATCTGGGCTTTTTTGTTCGAAATAATGGATTAAATGAACAAGGCTGAAGGCAGGGAGACCCGCAAAGAGGCTGTCTACGCACTCCTCGAGGGTAAGAATGTGTCTGGAACCTCTCTGGGATCCCAACTCTGCACAGCCCCATGCTGAGGAGGTACACTGTGAGATGCCATGCACTGCTGGGCACCCAGGGTCAGCCCAAGACTTTGTGCCTTAGGCAGAGACATGAAGCTGAAAACAGTAGAAACACCCACTGTATGCCAAACACTGACCAGTAGCCTTTTTTTTTTTTTTTTGAGATGGAGTCTCGTTCTTGTTGCCTAGGCTGCAGTGCAATGCAGCCATCTCGGCTCACCGCAACCTCTGCCTCCCGGGTTCAAGGGATTCTCCTGCCTAAGCCTCCTGAGTAGCTGGGATTACAGGCATTCACCACCACGCCCAGCTACTTTTTTGTATTTTTAGTAGAGATGGATTTTCTACATGTTGGCCAGGCTGGTCTTGAACACCCGACCTCAGGAGATCCACCTGCCTTGACCTCCCAAAGTGCTGGGATTACAGGCATGAGCCACCACACCTGGTCATTTTTTTTTTTTTTTTTTTTGAGACATCATCTCACTCTGTCGCCCAGTCTGGAATGCAGTGGTGTAATCACAGCTCACTGCAGCCTCCATCTCCAGGGCTCAAGTAATCCTTCCTCCCACTTTAGCTCCCCAAGTAGCTGAGACTACAGGTATGTACCACCATGCCCAGCTAATTTTTTTGTTTTGTACAGATGGGGTCTCCCTATGTTGCCCAGGCTGGTCTCAAACTCCTGGGCGCATGTGATCCTCCTGCCTTGGTCTCCCAAAGTGCTGGGATTACAGGCGTGAGCCACTGTGCAGGGAGGGCCTCAGTGAGCCTTGAATTCTCCTCTTCCCCTCCTCCCTACACTCATGAAAGTGCTACAATCACCTCTCTTTTTTCAGATGAGGGAATAATGAGGCTCAGAGAGAAGGCAGTGACTTGGCCAAGGTCCAGGCTTCCTCTTGTGGAGAAGATGGAATCTGAGTCAGGATCTGTAACTTTAGAGCTTTTCTCATACAGATACTTGGATTAACCATTGCCCAGAGTATAAAGTCAGGTGACAGGAGTTCTGAGGGCTGAAATACTTACCGTGTCTCTACATGGAAGAAAGATAAGAAGCTTGGGAAGACGTGGAGGTTTCAGAGGGATAAGGAAAGGAGGGAGAGACAGCACCAAGGGTTGGAGTAACAAGCTATCAAAAGGAACAAGAAGGAGGGAGGCCAGGCGTGGTAACTCAAGCCTTTAATCCCAGCACTTTGGGAGGCCCGAATTGGGCAGAATGACCTGAGGCAAGGAGTTGAGACCCAGCCTGACCAACCATGGAGAAAACCCCATCTCTACTAAAAAAATAACAAAAATGCCGGACGTGTGCCTGTAATCCCAGCTACTCGGAGGCTGAGGGCAGGAGAATTACTTTGAAACCGGGAGGCCAGAGGTGGTGGGTGAGCTTGAGATGATGCCATTGCCCCTCCAGCCTGGGCAACAAGAGCAAACTCTGCCTCAAAAAAAAAAAAAAAAAAAAAAAAGACGAGGGGAAAGAGAAACAGGAGAAGTTTTGGGGAGAGTTTGACGGCCCAAGGAAGGAGCAGTGGGTGCCAGTAGGGCAGGGCTGGGCCTCTGGGTTAGGCTAACAGGCTACTGTGTGTCTCTAGGAAGGGGGAGAAGCAAAACTGGAGGCAAAGCAACGGTGGTCCCGGGGTCCCCCGCCCTCTGCTCCAGGAAAGCAAGACAAAGGCACCTGCGGGTCAGCAATAGGCGCGATCAAAAGGCGACAATACTTTGCACTCTGATTAAAAAAGGGGATAAGGCTATCTCTTTTGGAGTGTGTTCATGTGCATGGTTTGCAAAGCACTTTCACATCCAGTTTCTGAATCTATTTTTGTTCACAACAGTTCCACCAAGGCAGGGGAGGGATTCTGGCGCACCCCCAGCCTTTACAGATGAGGAAATCAAGACGTTGAGCAGAACTGGATTATGGACACAGAACCTCTGACTTCTGTCCTTTCCTGGATTGTGATCTGTCCCATCTCTTAACCACACTGCAAATCACAGCTGCCCTTTCAACCAGTCGCCGTCCCAATACTGCGTTGGGGCAGGGGGCCGAATCCTAGATGCTCGATGCCTTCCATCTTCCTTGGCCTCTCAAAGTTAATGATGACACCCAGACTTTGACAACATTACATTCCTGCCCTCTTCAGAACTATCCAAAGTCTGGGCCGTGGCGTGAGTGACTTTCACGCCTGTAAATTCCCCCAAAGCACTTGCGGAGGGCTGAGGCAGGCGAATCACAAGGTCAGGAGTTCAAGACCAGCCTGGCCAACATGGTGAAACCCTGTCTCTACTAAAAATACAAAAAATTAGCTGGGCATGGTGGCGGGCGCCTGTAATCCTAGCTACTTGGGAGGCTGAGGGAGGAGAATCGCTTGAACCCGGGAGGTGGAGGTTGCAGTGAGCCGAGATCGCACCACTGCACTCCAGCCCGGGTGACAGCACAAGACTCCGTCTCAAAAAAAAGGACTATCTAAAGTCTGAAATTGACCACAGCGACCCTATTTCATTGTCTTCCCTTGAGACAGGGAGAGTTAGGTGTTCTCCCCTAACCCAAGAAGAAACTGAAGCCCAGACAGCGAAAGTGACTGGCCCAAGACCACAGTGAGTCAGTGGCGTGGCTGGAATAGGACTAGAACACAGATCCTCTTACCACCCCCTTATCCAGATCCCCTCCTTACCTGCAGCACTGACAGGTTGGTCTGTCCAGAAAGGCTCAGCTTCTCCTGCTCTGAGGGGTAGGCGTTGTAGCGGTGCAAGTACAGCCAGTCCCGGAGAATCTTCACCGACTCCTTGGGCAGGTTCCCCCTGCGCTTCCTTTTGCCCGTCAGAGAGAGGAGGCCTTCGTCCTCGCCTAGATCACTGTCCGACATGGTGCCTAGGGGGCTGGACCTTGGGTAAACCTGGGACAAGTGACACAGGGGATGGGAACATCATTAGCATGTACTGCCTTTTCCTAGTCTCCAAACATGCTCAGCATTACTTGAGCCTGGGACACCAGAAATGGGGTAATTGCAATTCAGAGTCTCAGGCCATAACACAGCCCAAGCAAGCTAGAAGGTATGAGTCCAAAGTTCCTCCACTTCATGGAACAGGTAGGTGACTAGCAAATGGCAGCTCATTCACAAGCAGGACTCGGACTGGAAATAATTACAGTTTCCACTGAGGTCTGCTATTCTCCATGTTCGGTACTGAGCATTTGGTTTTTTCTTTTCTTTTTTTTTGTTTTTGAGACAGGGTCTCACTCTGTAGCCCAGGCTGGAGTGCAGTGGCACCATCTCAGCTCACTTCAACCTCTGTCTCCTGGGTTCAAGTGATCTCCCACCTCAGCCTCCGAGTAGCTGCGATTACAGGCATGCATCTGGCTAATTTTCTGTATTTTTTGGTAGACACGGGGTTTCACCATATTGGCCAGGCTGGTATTGAACTCCTGGCCTCAAGTGATCTGGCAGCCTGAGCCTCCGAAAGTGCTGGGATTACAAGCGTGAGCCACCATGCCCGGCCTGTACTGAGCATTTTACACGTTATCTCATTTAATTACAATTCCTCAATAAGGGAGAAGCTATTATTATCATCATTTGATAGCTGAGGTAACAGAGAGAGATTAAGACAGCTGCCCAAGGCCAGCGCAGTGGCTCACAAAAAAAAAAAAAAAAAAAAAGTCTCAGGTGTCATGGTGTGCACCTGTAGGCCCACCTACTTGTGGGACTGAGGCAGAATTGCTTGAGCCCAGGAGGTCAAGGCTGCAGTGAACTGTGTTTGTGCCACTGCACTTCAGCCTGGGTAACAATAAAATAAAAAAGGTCTCAAAAAATAAAGGCTGAGCTCGGTGGCTTATGCCTGTAATCCTAGCACTTTGGGAGGCCAAGGCAGGCAGATCACGAGGTCAAGAGCTCGAGACCATCCTGGCCAACATGATGAAACCCCATTTCTACTAAAAAATCAAAAATTAGCTGGGCGTGGTGGCGTGCGCCTGTAGTCCCAGCTATTCCGGAGGCTGAGGCAGGAGAATTGCTTAAACCCGGGAGGCGGAGGTTGCAGTGAGCCGAGATCATGCCACTGCACTCCAGCCTGGGCAACACATTGAGACGCCATCTCAAAAAAAAAAAAAAAAAAAGCTGCCCAAGATACTATGGTGGTCAAACGGAGTTACTATGCAACCCAGAAATTTCACTCCTAGATAGTCCAAGAGAAATTAAAACTTGTGTCCACATAAAACCTCATACACACATATTCACAGCAGTATAGGCTGAGGTAGAAGGAATATTTGAACCCAGAAGTTCAAGACCAGCTTGGGCAACATAGTGAGACCTCATCTCTACAAAAAAAATAAAAGTCGTCTATCTTTTCAATGGTTTATTCGCCCATTAAAAAAAGGAATTCATAGCCGGGAGCGGTGGCTCATGCCTGTAATCCCAGCATTTTGGGGGACTGAAGCAGGTGAATCACTTGAGGTCAGGAGTTCAAGACCAGCCTGGCCAACATGGTGAAACCCCATCTCTACTGAAAATACAAAAAAATTAGCTGGACGTGGTGGCGCGCGCCTGTAATCCCAGCTACTCGGGAGGCTGAGGTAGGAGAATTCCTAGAACCCAGGAGATGGAGGTTGCAGTGAGCGGAGATTATGCCATTGCACTCCAGCTTGGGCAACAAGAGCGAAACTCCGTCTCAAAAAAAAAAAAAAAGTCAGTCCTGACATATGCTACAATATAGTAGGCCTTGAAAGCATTATGCTAAGGGAAAAAAGCCAGTCATAAGAGACTACATGTTATATGATTTCATTGATCATGCACTCTATCGAGACAGGGTAGATTAGCTAACTAACAGCTCCACAGTTAGGGCTGTGGAGACAGAATGCTGATAGCTAAAGTGTATGGAGTTTCTTTCTGATGGGGTAAAAACATCCTGGGCCAGGTGTAATACAGGCTCAGGTGTAGTACAGGCTCATGCCTGTAATCCCAATGCTTTGGGAGGCCAAGGCGGGAGGATCCCTTGAGGCCAGGAGTTCAATAGCAGCCTGGGCAACACAAGAAGACCCTGTCTCTACAAAAAATAAAAATTGGGGCCAGGCATGGTGGCTCACGCCCGAAATCCCAGCACTTTAGGAGGCTGAGGCGGGTGGTTTACCTGAGGTCAGGAGTTCGAGACCAGCCTGGCCAACATGGTGAAACCCCCGTCTCTACTAAAAATACAGAAAGTAGCTGGGTGTGGTGGTGGGCACCTGTAATCCCAGCTATGCAGGGGAGGGCTGAAGCAGAAGAATTGCTTGAACCTGGGAGGTGGAGGTTGCAGTGAGCCGAGATCATGCCATTGCACGCCAGCCTGGGTGACAGAGCGATTCTCTGTCTTAACAAAATAAAAAAAAATTAAAATAAAAAATAAAATAAAATAAAAATTAGCCCAGTATGGTGTGCCAGTAGTCCCAGCTGCTCGAGAGGCTGAGGTGAGAGGATCCCTTGAACCCAGGAGTTCAAGGCTGTAGTGAGCTATGATCGCACCAGTGCATGTCAACTTGGACAATATAGTAAGACCCCATTTTTAAAAATAAAATAATAAAAAAAAAAGCCACATGCTGTGGCTCACACCTATACTCCTGGCACTTTGGGAGGCCAAGGCAGGTAGATCACTTGAGCTCAGTAGTTCAAGACCAGCCTGGGCAACACGGTGAAACCCCATCTCTGCAAAAAAATACAAAAATTTGTTGAGCATGCTAACACATGTCTGTGGTCCTAGCTACTCTGGGGGCTGAGGTGGGAGAATCGCTTGAGCCTGGAGGCAGAGGTTGCAATGAGATGAGATAACACCAGTGTACTCCAGTCTGAGAGGCAGAGCAAGACCCTGTACCCCCATCCCCCTCAAAAAAAGTCCTAAAATTGACTATAGTGATAGTTGCAAACATATCAAAACCTGCTGATAAGTATACTTTAAATGGGTGAATTGCATGGTATGTGAGTTACATCTCAATAAAGCTGTAACGGAAAAAAATCCCACCCCTAGCTTAGGATACTAAAGGTGGATTTGGACCAGGCGTCTCCCCACCTTCTCTTGTGGGCTGTATACTGTACTGCCTCCTAGGTCTCCCAACGCCCAGTGAGAACTCCGGAAACTACAGATCACCATGGTCCTGCAGCAGTCCATGTGATATTTAAGGAGCACCTACTGTGTACCTTGCAGTGAGAGAGGTGAGTCATCTCTCTACTGGTTGCTTCTTGGACATTCTCCTTTGTCAGGCCCCTTGGCCTGGTCCTAGACTCAACCACTCAAAATCCAGATGAATGAGCAAGGCCCACCCTCCACTTGGCACTGTAATCCTGGGCAAGGATCCTCCCCTCTCTGGGCTTGAGTCCTGTCTTCACCTGTCAAATGAAGGAAGGATTTTCCCTAGATAACCCAAATCAGCTGCTCAGCCCCTGACAAAGTTCTGTTTCACACATGCAAAAAATATTTTCTTTTTTTTTTTTGAGATGGAGTCTTGCTCTGTAGCCCAGGCTGGAGTGCAGTGGCGCAATCTCGGCTCACTGCAACCTCCGTCTCCTGGGTTCAAGCAATTCTGCCTCAGCCTCCCGAGTAGCTGGGATTACAGGTGTGTGCCACCACACCTAGCTTTTTTTTTTTTTTTTTAGTAGAGATGGGGTTTTGCCATGTCGGCCAGGCTGGTCTCGAACTCCTGACCTCAGGTGATCTGCCGGCCTCGGCCTCCCAAAGTGCTGGGATTACAGGCCTGAGCCACCGCATCCGGCCAGATTTTCATTTTAAAAGCAAAAGTTCTAGGCCAGGCTGATGCCAGGATCTCAAGGCTCCTCCCTTCTCAGCCTTTTAACAGCTCCCCAGCAGGCCAGCCAACAGACTCTGGCATCTCCCAGGTTTTGTTTCCTCTTCTTGGACCTGCGCCCAGATCTCTGGGCTGGCTAGGCCAGGCTTTCGAGGGAAGGGTCTACCCTTTCAGCCAGGCCACCTGGAGGTGAGACAGGCACTGGTTAGAGGTGCCACTCCTCAGACAGCACCACAGCAGGCGCTTTCTGAGGTCAGACAGACATTTCTAGATGGCCAGGGCAGCTGGGATCCGGGCTCAGTGATGCAGCCCTGGCCGGCTGTGAGAAGTTTACTCAAGGTTAGCTGTACAAATTCCACCCTGGCTGACAGCCAAGTCTGTCTGCAGGGTTCCCCGGGTGGGCCCTGGGGAACGACCTCTCAGCTCTCAGCCTACACAAACTTCTCCACCTCGGTGTTCTGCAACCCAGGGCCATCTATAGGCTGGGAGGTTTCCCACATATGCACCCTACACCGCACCCAGACACACTCAAGCCAGGCAATTAACCAACAGCGCTAGGATAACTGGCCCGGACCCATCGCTCAAGCCCTACAAACCCTAGGGTTTATCACTGACACATACAGCACGCACACGCACAGATTACAGACCCAGGCCTAGCACGAACAACAGTGACCCACGCAACTAACCCAACTTTTGTACCCGCCCACCCACGAACTCCAACCGACCCGGCCACCCCCAATTTCTCTGACAGGGAAAACTCCAGGCGTCATCACACTAACAATCAGTTCTACCCTCAGTGACCAGTGGCAGCACCCCCTCGACACAACATCCCATGCACCCTCCTACAGACTCCCACGACGCCACCTGCAGCCACTCCCGCACCAACTTTCTGACAACTCCCCTAGCTCGGCCCCGACACTCCCCCCGGCCGCGCACTCACGCCCGCATTCCCAGCAATGCAGACAAAGCGCGCAACCTCCCCCGCGGCCCAGACCGAGTCGGAGCACATGGCTCCCCGGTCGGCGAGGAATCGGCCGGCGCTTGGGGCGCCTGCACCCCACAGTACCCTCACCCCTGGCCGACTCCGCGCACCAGCTCCCCGGCGGGCCCGCCATCCCGGTGGGGCGGGGGTTCTGGAAGAAAGAAAACTCACGTGTCTGTCCTGGAGCAGGAAAAAGTTTGGTTCCCACCCCCTTCCCCGGCAGTTCGGGGCTGGCCGACTCTTCGGGGCGCGGGGCCGGCGGAGCGTGCGCGCTCGGCTTTGTGCTCCGAAGTCGGCCCTGAGGGGGAGGGGAGGGGAAGGGAGGGGAGGGGGCTGGGCTCCCACCTCCGCGCCGCCCCCCCACAGCCCTGCGCCCAGACTCCATGTTGGCCGCCCCCTGCCCCGCAGGCTGCGCGCTTCTCCTGCGGGAGGCTCGGCTCACCCTCGGCCTGCCCGAGGGTCCCGGCGCCAACAAACTTTCTCCGGGGCGCCGGCCTCACGCGCCCCGCTTCCTTGGCCCGCCTGGGAGTGACAGATGCCTCAGAGACAGACTTTCCTTTGTTCCAAAGGAAAGGGGAACTCGCGCGGGCTCCCCAGAGCCCCCCCGCTCCGGGCCCTTACCGCGGCCCCCACTCCCAGCTGTCACTCTCGGCCGCCCCCTGCCCGGCTCGGCGGCGGGGGGGCCCTGCCGGCGGTTAGCAACGTGCACTTTTGAAACCAAACAAATCCGCCCCCCCGCGCGCTCACTCAGGTCCGGCGCAGGATCGGCCCTCTCCTGGGGTGGGATCCTATGAAGCTGGGCCCCCCGCCAGGGCCCCGAGCAGGCTTCCTCCCGGGGGCTGGAACAGCCCCCTACCAGCCCCCGGAGCGCAGCGCCTTCGGGACTCACAAACACCCCCTGGGGGCCGTCGGGACTCACAAACACCCCCGAGCTCACACACCCCCAACCGCACGCGCCAGGACGACGCCCCCTCCCCCGTCCGACTGAGAAAAAGAAACTTTTCAAGTTGTCCGCGCGCCCCCACCCCCATCTGGCCCTCTCCTGCTCCCTGCACTAACTTTTCCGAGAGGCTTTCGGGTCCACGCGGCCTCGGGCTCGGCGCGGGGAGTCCCGGCGGGGGGCGGGGGGCCCCGGGGGCGCGCGCAGCGTACCTGCCCGGCCTGACACTCGGCCTGACAGCTCGCGGCTGGAAAGCACCTCGCGGCCTGACGTCAGATCCCCTCTCCTCCCCCCGCGCCCTCCGCGCCCTCCCCCACCCGCCCGGAGGGAGAAAACAAACTTTGTCAGGAGCGCGACAAGCTGCGCCCACCCCCCGCGGGGCGGGCCGAAGGCGCCGAGGGGCTTCGCCCCGCCCAGCGCGCCCGGAGGGGGCGGGGCCGCGGGCACCTTCTTCCTGCGCCCACCCCGCCCTCAGGAATGCTGCATGGCCTCCCCAGAGCGGCGGTGGGAGCCTCGGCCGGGGAGAGCCCGCTCGGGGGCAGGAAGTGGCCCGGCCCTCCTCGTGGAGGGTGTTTCCGGAGCGCCTACTGTGCTCCTCGCCGGAGTGGGGGTCGTTACCGAGGGGGAACTTCTGTAAATCGTAACTTTTGTCATTTCGCGCCCCCCACAAGATGTCCTGCCGGCGGTGCGATTGCTCCCGTTGCTTCGAGGGGAAACTGAGGCCAGTTAGTCTGGCCACTTACCCTCAGCTGGTAAAGGACTGGGCTCTGATGGGGACGCCTGTTATGACCTCAAGGGCCTATAGAGTCTGGGAGGCCGCCTCCGACCTAAGCCCAAAAAGCACATGGTCGGGCTCACAGGGGGCGGCCAGAGGTGAAAACTGCCAGTGTTTTGCAGCGACCTTGTGCGGGTCACTTCGTGTGTGTCATCCTGTCTCATCCTCGGGTGATGGGGTATGTGTTGCCCTTTGTAAGTCTCTGGCTTGTTCATGAGCCGCAGAGAGGTTCTTGATTGGCTTTTGTCACACAGTCAACCGGTGTCATTCAGCCCAGGTCGGTCAATAGTGAAGCCTGATCCCTTACCCGTTGTGCTAGGCGTTAAACCATCAGTCTGGTTTCTTTTTCCTCTTCTGCCGGTTACACCCTACTCCAGAAGGTTTTCCTTGGCCTCCCCCACCCGGGTCAGTACACTCTTCCCCCGCTGTCTGCTGTGGGTACCACATACTGTGAAATACCTGTTAACCAATCTCCTAGGGCACCCCCACGCCCCCCAGCCCTATACCCGGGCACGGCTGGGCCCAGATATCTAGGGCCCCTGAGCTTGTAAATCGCCTTGAAAACAGCTTTTGGTCTTAATGGCCCTTTAGCAAGGGAGAACTCTAGGAACAATAATCTTTAATTTTTCGCAAGCAAGCCTTAAGCCAATCAGAACGCCGATTAAAAGATTGTTAAGGTTTCACCTGGACACCCCATAGAAGCCAGACTTCCTGCAAATGTTAAAAAGCTCCTCACAGCAGCGGGTGAAATGTCAGTGGCACTGCCCTTTGCTCTCCATTTCACAGACAGGGAAACTGAGGCCCAGAGTGTGGGTCAGAAACAATTTTCTTGGCCGAATAAATGGTGCTTCCCCCACAGCCCTCTGAAAGAAAAAGCCACATCTGGGTTGCCTTAGGTAAGAAATGTAAAACCAATGGGCCTTGGCCTCTAGGAAATGTATGGGACAGGGACCTTCAGAAGAGGGGAGCCCCAGGGGGAAACGGGTGCGATCAGGTGAGCCTGGAGAGGGGGCTCCGGTAGTGGCTGCTGAGCTTGAACTCTGCACTAGGCATTTTTCTCCTGTATGCCTAAGAGCCACACTGCCCTTTCTGGGGAAGCCACTGGGGGCCTGGGCTAGAGGCAGAGACCGCACCATAAATTGTGCCTGCAGCAGCCCCTTAGACCAGTTCTTCCCAAGTCTGGTGCTAGATGAGGTTGGGGAAATGGAAGGGAGTGACTGCCTCCTCCTCCACCTGAGAGCCGCATAACAAAGACCTTCCTCCTGGAGGACGGAGTAGGGGTGAAGGGAGTCTGGTAGCCCATCAGATTTTGCATGTAAGCAAGCTTCACAGGTAAAGCCTTAGTGCAATGAGAGTTTGAGAATTACTGTGTAAAGTTTCTCAACTAGTAAGTATCAGAATTTAAAATGTGTGGATTCTCTAAGCCAGTAATTCCACTTCTAGGAATCTGTGTTTAGAAGTAGCTGTACAACAATGATAAATGCTTATAGAAGATTATTCTTTGCAGAACTGTTCATTCGGAAAGATTGCAAACAGCTAAATACCTCTCACCAGGAGCTGGCCCATTATAGCAACTCTGAGACCTCTCTACTGCAGGCTCTGAAAATGGGGTAAGTTGGTGCACGCTAATGTAGGGGCATGGCCAAGGTGTGTTTATTGACAGCTTACAGTGTCCCAACATGGAGGGACTTTGGACATACTTGGTGAGAACTTTAGTGGGAAAACTTTTTGAAAGTGATAAGTTATTTTATTGTCATTTTTCTCTCCCCCACTTTCTTTTTTCTTTTCTTTTCTTTTTTTTTGAGACAGAGTCTCGCTCTGTCTCCCAGGCTGGAGTGCAGTGGGGCGATCTCAGCTCACTGCAACCTCTGCCTCCCGGGTTCAAGCGATTCTCCTGCCTCAGCCTAAAGGTGCCCACCACCATGCCTAGCTAATTTTTGTGTTTTTAGTAGAGACGGAGTTTTGCCATGTTGACCAGGCTGATCTTGAACTGACCTGAAGTGATCCACCG